TTGTTGAATTACCTTGGTCACGCACATCAATCCCGGGATGTTTGGCAACCCGGGTGGTATTATTTTTTTTAGGTTTACATCAACCACAACTCAGGAGTTTTCAGCCCAGTTATTGCAAAATCCTGAGTTGTTTCCAGAGTCTTGCTTGCAGTGTTAAAGTATAAGAGTACTTTCCAGTAGCTGAGGAGGTTGAACGTTGAGTTTGATTGATTCTATATCCACTGAGCAGAGAAACAAAAAGTACATGAGATCATGGTATTATGTGCTATAAATCTTACAAATTAATAATCCAAAGTAGCGCAAAAATAAATAAAACATAATCATTGATTGATAGACAATTAGCTCTCATATAGGCCTATTATTTAAATTCTAAACATATGTTGATAAATTGTGGGTTACAGTAACAGCACTTTTTTTAATTTAGCTAGTTGATTAAGTTGATAAAGTAGTTTAAAATACTAATGCTTATGAGTTTATTAATAATGACAATAGTGTAATGCAGCAATGATAAAAATGGTTATCGTAAAAAGTAATAATATAAATATATGTACTGTACTAAAAATTCGTATTTAAATTTATAGTAAGAATAATTTAAAGAGAGCTTTATCATCAAATATTTTATTCAAACATGGTACATTTTGCTTCTTGTTTGTTTTAAATTCAGTATACTGACCGTACCAATCCACTGGACAAGCACCTGGTCACCATGCTTAATGTTGAAGACTTTGGTACTGGTCCCCCAGCTGCACAGATGTTTGGAAATGCTGGCCGTGAGCACATGAAAAAATATGGTAAGAAGACAATTCAGTGACATTTAATCTATTACCATTGATTGATTGATTGATTGATTAAATGTTTCATTAAATGAACCCAAGGGATGGAGGTTGCTTAGCAGAAAGGTACAGTCTTTTTAATCCCCATCGCCTTGTTGATTTAAATAAGGACCGAACATTTTCATTACATGTAATGACTCGTACAGTGTTTAAAACTATCATACTGCCATCTTGTGGTGAGAATTATTTTTTAGTTTTGATGATTCTTAAGGAACGAAGGATTTTCTATAAGTGTAACAGTAACAGTGTGTTCGAGTATGTCACTGAAGGATTTGGTCAATTTATCTTGGGACTTCATCACTTAATAACAATTCCGAGAATCTTGTCTTATTCAAGGTCACAGTACAGTTAGGAAGTCCTTGATAGTCATCCAATGAAATGAACTTTTAATAGGGACCACAGTGGAAATAAGTTGCTTTTTTGTACTTTCCTGTGTTTTTATCCTTGAATGTATTTTACTTATAATTACTTGAATGAATAAATAAAATAAAATAAATAAAAATAATTTAACTACTACTATATTTTGTTTTTGTATCCAATTTCGACTTAATAACATTTTTTCATATTAAAAGTCTATTAAAATTTATCATAAAAGCAAAGCAATATTTATGTTGAATTGTTAGTGAGCCTCTTACTTAAGTGTGCTGTCCCTGCTTGGGTACTCAACACACAAAGTACCTATTTATGTTGAAATGTCAGTGAGCCTCTTACTTAAGTGCGCTGTCCCTGTTTGGGTACTCAACACGCAAAGTTCCTATTTCCCTAGTGCTTTCCCTGCCAGTTCTAATTTGTGTGAACAGTTTAACAGGGAAAGGAAAGAGACAGAATCTTCATGAAGGGTTTGTAAAAGGGGAGGGGATGATGTTAAGGACAGTAACCTGGTTTTTGCACATCTCTTTCCTGGAGTGAAGGGTATTTTGATCCCTCTCAACAACGAAAATCGATATTGGAGACCCCTAGTGTAAAGGCCCACACCTCAACTGTACAGAAAACCGAAATGCAAGTACTATATTCAATCTGAAACTAAAAAACGGGAAACTGATTTCATTTGATAAACTTCTGTATTCAGGATTTAGTCATTCAGTAAACATACATTTCCTATGAGTTCCAGATTTTTAACTTAAAAACTACAAGAATAGAAAATTAAAAATAAAGAAAAAAACATGTAACAAAAAAATTGTAATTTTTGTAGTATTATTTCAAATCATTTGGTAGTGTTTGATTTTGTTTGAAGGATGGCCTATTCACAGAAATGTTTATGTTTTCATTTTGCTTTTCTTTCTGGTAATGTGTTCCTTGTGAACACTCATCCGTGTAAATAAATAAATAAGCATTCATATTTATTTATTTACACACCTAGATTTTTATAAAGTAATCTCTTAAAGTTCAGGGGTAGGTCTTACTCTTTATTTAACCTTAAGTAATAATTAGTAATTTTGATAGTTAACTTTTTAAAAGAACTTTAAATTAGAATCATCACCAACATTAATGAGTGTTCTTCCTTTGGGTTTAAAATATGAACTTTGTAATTTACTAAGCCTGTCAATACATGTATACCCTATATTGCTTTTAGTTTACTGTCAATGTCCTAGTGTATCCCTAGGGGACTTCACATCTGGATGAACCCTGCATGCTTACACTGGCTTACTGAGTGCCAGGACAGCTTTCCTTCTGTCAAAGTTTGTTGCATGTGTTTTACTAAAGACAAAACTCAAGCATGTTTTTAAATGCCATATCTTAAGGACTAATATTCTAATCATATATTATGTCCTCTTTCATTTTTTTAAAGATGCTTTTTTATACAAATTGTCAAATAAACATTTGTATGTATGTCTTAACCAAGCTGTATATGTGAGATTTCATGGTATGTTGCCCCTTTAAAAATCCTGTAATGCTTCAATTTAATATAGGTACATCACTCACTTGTTCAATTTAATATAGGTACATCACTCACTTGTTCAATTTAATATAAGGTACATCACTCACTTGTTCAATTTAATATAGGTACATCACTCACTTGTTCAATTTAATATAGGTACATCACTCACTTGTTCAATTTAATATAGGTACATCACTCACTTGTTCAATTTAATATAGGTCCATCACTCACTTGTTCAATTTAATATAGGTACATCACTCACTTGTTCAATTTAATATAGGTACATCACTCACTTGTTCAATTTAATATAGGTACATCACTCACTTGTTCAATTTAATATAGGTACATCACTCACAGTAATGTCTTACTGTTCATTTTAATCTTCTTCAAGTTCAAACTAAAATGTTTTGGTCCTGATTATGAGCTTAACCATTAGCAATTCCTGGTCATTGTATTGTTTTTCGCTCAGAAGGCAACTCATCGTTTTGAGAATTGAAAAAAAATAACCTTATTTCCATCCAAATCTTTCAGTATGCTTTACCCTTTTCTTAGTTGAAATCATAATATGTATTGACGTGTGGCATGATGCTTTTTGTTATCAAAGAGTATTTTTATGATTTATGGCAGTTATATTTACCAAATAACAATAGGCCAACTCTTCAAACATCTGTCTTTGTTCTTTCAGGTACCAACCCCAATCACTTTGTCAAAATCGCCTACAAAAACCATAAACATTCAACCAATAACCCGTAAGTTATTGCAAATGTTTAATACAAAGACATTATATAGAAAAGATAGATGAAATGGGTCAGTCCAATTATGAGGAAAGTAGTTATTACATTTTAATGATTAACAATGTGCATTTAAAAAAAATATGTATTATTACCGTACATCTATATTTGAAGCCATAAGCCCACTCACTAGTTTATATCATTGGAAATTGGATTGTGTTAATCGTAAGTGTTCAAAATAAACTTACTGTGAAATTTGTAATCATAGAATTTCTAATCCTAGACATGTTTTTACATCAGAGCCAGATTTATTGAAATACTGACTTGTATGGAAAGTTATTTAGCATTATTTTGAGTTATGTAGTTACTCGATTTCAGAAGGTCTGCACCCACCACCAAAAAATCTATTTCTAAGTTTTCCTTTATAGTTTGCTAAGTATTAAAAGACAAAATGTTTCAGAGTTTTTTAAATTTTTACTACCCAAAAATATGGCAAAAAATATTTCAAAGTATTTGTGTGGGCTTATTAACTCTTAAGAATATGTAAGTGTAATACAGAAATTTATATTATGTTTTTCCGTATTACACTGAAACTTCAGTTTTAGATATTTTTTACATAGTATCCAAACCTTCCGGAATTGGAGGTATTATAAGGTAGTATAATACATACTCCAAGTATCGAAATGCACGCCATCGTGCCGGGATTCAATATTTCAACATTAATTATGTCATCATCAGGATGACATATGATGATGACATAATTAATGTCGAAATATTGAATCCTGACATGATGGCGTGCATTTCGATACTGGGAGTATGTATTATACTATCTTATCTGAGATTAGCCATTAAACCTTTCAGTTTTTGGAGGTATTATGGTGATGCAAATTCTGAAAATGGGGTGACTACATTTAATTTTACTAACCATGCTATATTAAAGATTTGATTACTTTTAGAATTTCAAGTACATTTTATTTTTGTAAAATTTGTTATAGATATTCTCAGTTTCGTAAGGAGTATTCCATGGAAGAGATTAAAAATTCCCCTGTTATTCATTCACCTCTTACTAAATTGCAGTGTTGGTAAGTTTTTAATTAAAAATTGTTTATTTTTATTGATTTCAATCTCTGACAATGAACAAGAGCGACTGCTGATTGGTGCGCACGTTCCTCCACGCTTAAATATGGTACAGGCTCAAGTTATTATATTGGGTTTTTTGGAAGAGCTAATAAGATTTTTAAATAATTAGAATGTTTATTTTGTACAAAACAAATTATTATTTAGAATGTTCATTTGTACAAATCAAAATATCTTAAAATTGAAAAAAATAAGATTTCTTAACATTGAAAAAAACAAAATGAATATCAAGACACGATTCGAACTCACAACCTTAAGTTCTTTAGAACACATCCTTAACCGACCGTACCATCCATGCAACTTGCCCTATTAGTGGTAATGGCACTATGGTACAGTCCTTGCTGAAACTGCTGTTTTGTTTTGTAGGTGTAGGGGGAACCATGGGGTCCAACTTGAAAAAAGCGATGAACGTTTGTTGAAAATCACCTCTAGTTTATGTACAAAATTTCCTGCACGTTTCTTTAAAACTGGCGACGCTGGACGCTTTTAAAGCTCTTGTATCAAGAACAAGAACAGTAGTGAGGCTCTGGGGTCAGCGCCTTGCGCAGACCAAAAAATATATATCATATCAAATTTAGACATTCTCAGTGTTGCACATTAAGAGTATATTATTAATATGTATTTCCTGATAACCTTAGGGATGATGGATGAATGTAATTGCCAAATAATCTTAATAGCATTAATATCATTCCATAAAGTATGTCCATTTTTCCCTGTGTTGTTGTAGCAGCCTTAACTCTTGTGCCAACGATGTGAACAGATCCAGCGACCAAAATTCAAAGATCCTAGTTTGGTAGAATTGGCACACTTTTAATTGTGTAATTTTGTTATTGGTCTTCTTGTTATTGGGATTCCAAAGAATAATGAATGTTAATTAAAATCTAGTCTAAAGTAGCATCTCACATCTGAAAGTTTACAACCTGGTTAAGATTATGACCATAACAAATAATAAATAAAATAAGATTGAAATCACCAGGTAGGCAAAAACTGGTATCTAGTGAGCGGGTGTGAATTTCATCCATAGTATAAAATAAATGTTGTTCTAAGTAGCCTTGATGAGGTTAGTAACAATATAGGCACCACATAGGACAATTTGTGACAAGCCTCTGGGTTGTCTATAATTCTTGAGTTTAATCTAAACAATTTCAAGTTCTGGTGGGACAGGAACATTTAATGGCAGGACATTGAGGCTTTCTTTAACAAAAAAGGCCACGCTTTCTCCACGGCGATCCTCCCGATTTTTGAAGAATAGCAAGCAACTACTTGGCAATAACAGTTGATCATTGTGTATGTTAGAGGAATAACACAATTCCGTAAAAAAATCTGTTACTTATCCCATTGATCTCATCAAATCTATTTTCTCTTAACTGTATTTCATAAAATCTCTATTATTTCATCAAATCTACATATTGGTAACTCATCAAATTGTTTATCATTATCTCATTTATATATCTTTAAATATTGCTCTTATGTAGTCCGACATCAGATGGGAGTGCTGCCGTAGTTGTTTGCAGTGAAGATTTTGTTAGAAAACATGGACTGGAAAGGAAGGCTGTTGAAATTGTAGGTATGGAGATGGCAACAGACCTGCCAAGCACCTTTGAAGAGAACAGCTGTATGAAAGTAGTAAGTTTGAGAGTCAATTTGGGGTTTCATACATTGTACAATTAATACAACATTGCTGGTGGTCTGTACATTATTGGGAGTACATCCAGTGTACATGGGGTATGGTAGCAATTTGTGTCCTTTGCAGTTGTAATATGTATGCTCATACAAGTATTTAGCTTATGAGTTTGTGATGAATCATAGAGTACTACAGTGTGACATCACGGCAGTCTGTGACATTATTTGTTGCTACAATTACCAATGAAGTCGCTACGTCCGAGTGACGCCACATCCAAGCCATAGTTTCTATAGCTTTTTAAACTGATGAATCGTTTCCTGTTAAATTTTATATTTTATTTTGATTTTTATCATGAGAAAATAAAAGTGCATTGGATGATAAATAGTATTATCACCAGTGGATCTATTTTGCATACCAAAATTCTCATGTGATTCTAAAGTTTTTATTTAAACATTTCTAATCCATAAATTATAATGTTTTAAATACCTTTTTCAGCAGGCTTTGGCTATGCCTGAGTTTTAGTTTTCAACAAGTATGTTTCATGCTGTTTTTTTTGTAATTACAGCTACTCATCTGAGATTTGGTTAAAATGAGCTTTACTAACATTTCATTTAAATTTGCTGTGCATGGTGATACCCATTGGTACTGACTTCCGTGAGACAATTGATAATAAAGTAGTAAAAACATGCAAATATTATGAATTTGTGGGAGATAGGTTATTTTCAGGGAGATTCTTGCTTGCGGGAGTGCGAGAGGCCGTCATGGTATCTAGGGGGACTCCCTTAACTTGCAGGAGTGCGAGAGGCCATCCTGATATCCAGGGGGACTCCCTCAACTTGCGGGAGTGCGAGAGTCCATCCTGATATCCAGGGGGACTCCCTCAACTTGCGGGAGTGCGAGAGGCCATCCTGATATCCGGGGGACTCCCTCAACTTGCGGGAGTGCGAGAGGCCGTCATGATATCCAGGGGGACTCCCTCAACTTGCGGGAGTGCGAGAGGCCGCCATGATATCCAGGGGGACTCCCTCGACTTGCGGGAGTGTGAGAGGCCGTCATGATATCCAGGGGGACTCCCTCAACTTGCGAGAGGCCGTCCTGATATCCAGGGGACTCCCTCAACTTGGGGGAGTGCGAGAGGCCGTCTTGATATTCAGGGGGACTCCCTCAACTTGCGGGAGACTTGGGACACCTATAGTAGCCATAACAACCATTTTACTAGGCTCAAATCATGTTCAACTAGTACTTACTAGGTTTGTTTAATTTTTCTAGGTGGGATATGACATGACAAAGAAAGCTGCTGAGGCACTGTTTCAGAAAACTAGCTATGTTCCAACAGATGTGCATGTTGTGGAGCTACATGACTGTTTTGCAGCCAATGAGCTTATCACTTATGAAGCTCTTGGCCTCTGTCCACCTGGTAAGCAAGAACTTATAAACATTCAAGTATTCTCACCTCCTCTCAAATCTACATCATTTACATGTTACGTTCACTTCTAAGAACAAAGATCTAAATTCCTCAAAGTTAGACTAATTGAGCACAAATAGGTGACCATTGAATGCCTGATGACCTTGCTCCTTTCATCCCTTCCCCCACCTTCTTTCTCCATTTTACTTTACCTAGATTTCAGAAGTTAAGTAAATTAAATATTTTAATATGCCTTTTAAATTTGCTCATTTTACTACTAATTTTTTTGAATATTTAACTAGATATTTTATCTATAAGGAACATTTTATATTTTAAGCATATTTTGTGTGTCAAAGGTCCTCCACTTGACATTTAGGGTGTTCCTGTCTCATGGTCTTTTGTGCTTGTTCTTTGCTGTTTCTTTTTTTGTAAATGTTAAAAGACAGAATTTTTTTAGCCGGAATGTAGTACCCAGCTATAGAACAGCTATCCATGCTCAGCATGGAGTAACGCCTACGTGTTCTAGTGCGAAGATCCGCAGGCCACCAACCCTTAAGGGGCCCCTTTGGTTCCTCTACGCATGAGAGTCCAGTAGGGTCCTCTCTATACCACCCTGATCCAAAATAACTTTGTTAATACATAATAGCCTAATGTGGGGGTTGGGTGCCCAGCCAGCCACCACCACCCTACATATGTCAAAATTTTTTTTTTAAATTAGATAAAATATTCAAATTTTAAATCTGAATGAGTGCCATTTCCGGGCTTTTAAAGGTCCCATAATTTTTTACCGTCAAAGATTGCCATTTCCGAGCGTCTTGATGGGGGTATTCTTAAAATTTGCTCCAAGGGCCACTGATGCTTAGGGGCCCCTTCGGTGCTCCTACCCATATTGTCCAGTAGGGTCCTCGCTCTGTAGCATCTGATTCAAAAGGGCTTTGCTGATACATAAGAGCATAATGTGTCACTGACATCGAATTTAGGACATATATTATATTAATCCAGTGGGGTGGGTTGCCCAGCCAGCCAGGACTCACTACATTTGTAAACATTTTTTTTTTAATGGAAATAAAATATTCAAATTTTAAGACTGAATGAGTGCCATTCCCGGGCATCTAGAGATACCAAAATCATTATTTGCTTTGCGACTCCCAGTATAGAATAGACTATAGGCCTTTGATTAGACCTTTGACCTTAGACCCCGTGAGGGGAGGGGTGTCTAAGGGAACTCCCGTCGAGAAGAAGTCAATAATTTTTGTCAAGGAACACTGCTTTGAAAAAGCATATTTTTACCATCTGAGAGTGCCATTTTTGAGCGTCTAGAGGGTCCTATTCTTAAAATTTGCTCATCTCAGTCCCAACCATGGTGAGGCTGAGGTGGGAATACCTATTGGGCCCCCCCGTCAGAAAATTTCTGGATCTCCCCCCCCCCCCTGAAGTAAATGAATAATTGTAGTGTTCTGTATACATAGAGTACAACAGTCGTTTCATCATTGGTTACCGTTCATTACGCCTAACTGACTTCATAATCTTAATGGTTTAGAATTGGCTTTGTGGAATAGGCATTTTAAAACCTAATAATTTATTATCAAAATGTACTAAAAACATCAAAGCTCGCACTATATTAGTTATTGAACACACATTTAATCAAAGAAAAACTAAGATACAACATCTTGATAATTACCTTAGAAATTGGAATCAGTGTACAAAATGGCGTCTGGTTGAAAGCATTTTGTGTCGCAGATAGCAGCAGAGTAGTATCACATGGTATCGTGACATAACACTGTAGTACTCTATAAGGAAGCCTGTCTCTTATACACATCTAGATGTGTATAAGAGACAGCTGCTGAGGCACTGTTTCAGAAAACTAGCTATGTTCCAACAGATGTGCATGTTGTGGAGCTACATGACTGTTTTGCAGCCAATGAGCTTATCACTTATGAAGCTCTTGGCCTCTGTCCACCTGGTAAGCAAGAACTTATAAACATTCAAGTATTCTCACCTCCTCTCAAATCTACATCATTTACATGTTACGTTCACTTCTAAGAACAAAGATCTAAATTCCTCAAAGTTAGACTAATTGAGCACAAATAGGTGACCATTGAATGCCTGATGACCTTGCTCCTTTCATCCCTTCCCCCACCTTCTTTCTCCATTTTACTTTACCTAGATTTCAGAAGTTAAGTAAATTAAATATTTTAATATGCCTTTTAAATTTGCTCATTTTACTACTAATTTTTTTGAATATTTAACTAGATATTTTATCTATAAGGAACATTTTATATTTTAAGCATATTTTGTGTGTCAAAGGCTGTCTCTACACAACAAACATACACACGTTATATGCACGTTATCGTCTAGGTGTATCTTCCCCTAACTACCAGCCGGTATGTCAGTGTATAGCAATGAAGTCAAAATGCTAGAATGACACCCCGGTTTTGACAAGTGTAATCGTTCCTAGCGCTCTCAGAAACCTGAGACGAGTATACTCGACGCTGGGGCACGCACGTGTTAAAAAATGTTCTTATTTTAACACACTTTTTAAACATAAAACATTATTATTCTACAGCAGCGTATTACTGTACTGTATTATAGTACAGTGTACACTAACTGCAAATAAGGTACTGGTAAGGTTTGTTGGTTTTTCTACTACTACTACTACTAAAAAATAAAAACCTCACTTGTGGCATTTTAACTTAGCTTAATTTATGCTTATTTTGTTCTTAATTTTTCCGCAATTTCGACAGCCTCATTCTTCTTATAAAATGTGCTCTTATAAAAAAATGTAAGTGATGTTGCTATTAAAACGTTACTCGTATCATGATGATCCTTTTATACAGTATACCCCGTCACGGGTTCAATAGCGTATACATACAGTATAATTATGCTTATACCTCTGTATATGTTTTCTGTCGATGCCAAGAATAAAAATGTTAATTTGTTTCAAATGCTTCTAGTTGTTTGAATCATCTCATTTACAGTTGCTTTTAATCCACTCTTTATATCAAACTTTGCTATTGTTCATTTAAAAGCAGAGTTGATTTTGAATTTTTATTCGTAATTTATACAGTAGTATTTTTCATTTGGGGAACAATTTGCTTATTTCTCCATGTCCTCCACTGGTAATTTTTCGATAGGCCCTATCGCTGTGTTCATGGACATATAGAGATTAACATGAGAAAATGCCTTCAAATTAGTCTACTAGGACGTAAGAAAGCAAATTTTTCCGACCAGGGCCCTAGGCGGCCCCCCCCCCATTCAAAAGGCTGGATACGGGCCTGGATAGTTTAGCTACCTCTCATGAAGTATTCATAATCATCCTTAACATATTTTGCACATGCCCTATTTTCAAATCTGTGTCAGCCTGATATTAATGATCAGCTGCTCTGTACATCATGATGGGACCTAGTTTTCAGCCCTTCTATGGGCTTTGTATTTGAATCAATGCAAAAATAAAACCAATGATTGATTTGACTCGGTGGATTCTGAATTTTAATACATTACATTTACTGTCGGTCAGTCTGCAAATACAATACAAAATTCTAAATAGTTGTTCAATTAAAGTTTATTAAAGTCTTCGCTCAATGCATGCGAAGGAAGTGTTTTATGAATGAATTAATTTTGCTAAACTATCCTATGGAAAGAAGTTGCTGCCTGCCCTAAACTATCCTATGGAAAGAAGTTGCGCCTGCCCCCCCCCCCCCCTCTTTGTATTTGCCTATGTCATTCACATTGTGTGTAATAGACTGTTGTGCGGAAGAAAACAGAGATAACACCCATAGGAAACTGAAGATACCATAAAGCATCAAGCAACACATTTGTTGTCCATGGCCTTGCATGCACCACATATCAATTAAGAACATAGATTGAAGATTTCATCACAAAATAAGGTTGATCATCTTCAGCTCAGAATGCAGGCTTGGGACATGGTAGTCTTTACGCAGACCTGCGTGTGTGTGTTTGTTTACTTATCCCCGGAAGTGAATCAGATATGGGCTGTTAGGCCAACCCTACTTCACTAGGTCAAATTTGGTTGATGATTCCAGTTACAGGAAATGATGTATAAACTATAGTATTAGTAATTACAGCTTGATTCATGAAGTAAACTGCCAACTCAATACATATTTGTAGCCAAATTGTAGAAAAGTTTATTAAAAAAAGTTTGAAATTAAGGTAACTGTATGTCAATAAAAAGGAGGCAATTGACATCAAATTTTCCTTTTTACATTGAATTTAAATTTAATGAGCAATCAATTTTCTGAACAAGTTAACTGGTTAAACCATCAAGTTATTCTTACTTTACATTTGGTTTAAAGTTAAGGGTCAGTCAGTATCATCTAATTGTCCTTTATTTTTAATTTAGTGAACTTAAGTCATTAGCTATAATGATTATACTGGACATATATATGTTATGAATTATACTGTATAATTATATTTATAATTATAATTATACTGTGATTCCTGATGATGACATAATTAATGTCGAAATATTGAATCCCGTCACGATGGCGTGCATTTCGATACTTGGAATATGTATTATACTATCTTATACTGTATTTGTTTTACAAATTCAATCAAATTCCATTTGTGGACATCTGGGGTCAGCTGTTGTGTTCCATTGGAATTTTAGTAATTATTCAAACTGTAGGTACATGTAACTTATGTGGCAGGCAGACCAGTTAAATGCCAAGTTCCTTCCATAGAACATTAATATTTTGTGACATGTATTGCATCAACACTTGGATACCGGATATAACATAAAGCAGCTGTGCTTACTCCAAGTTGAATTGTTTTTATGAACATCGTAGGATGATCATTACCAAAATGGACATGAACTTCACCAATGTAATTTGTTCATGTCTGTTTGCAATCATATACTGGCATATTCAGAGGATAAGAGGAAACACATTGTGATCGATACTCATAATGGCTATTTCATTCAAATATATATTTATATATTTTTTTCCATATAACAGTAAGTTCTGTAGATAGCAAGCTTTTTTTTGTTTTTACTG